AAAACTATATGTCTACCACTGTTCTTTGAGGTCACAATTCCTGTCAATGCAGGATTTTGTTTTTCTAGGTGCATCTTTAGCTTTAGGTATCTTATGTAAAAGTAGCTATGGCAAAAATGGCATAGTCAAAAAGAAAGCAAGTACTGTGAACATGTTATTTTTTTAGCAATGCTTTGGTCATAGTCTTTTAAATATTCTTCACTGAGCGGGGGAGATTTTACTTTAAAAGGCACTGTTTCACTAGCTATAGCTTTAAAATAATAATAATAGCTATGGTATATGATCTTTCCCCCATCAGTATATTGGAATTATAAAATGAAACCTTTTTTTTTTTTTTTTTTTTTTAAGTAAAAAAGATCAGTAACAGTACTGCTGGGTGACAGAAATAATCATTCCAAATGTGTATCGCTGTTGGTAAACCTATGAAGAAATTGTAGGAGCACACTTTTGAGAAGTCAAGTTCTACATAGAGAGAAAATAACAATTTGACAATTTGTTTTTGTTTTAAACATAAAGTATTGTCCTTTTATTTATTTTTTTCTCTTTCTGTGGCAGTTACTCTATTCAGATTTCTTTGAATTCTCCAGGTGGTTTTCACACATGAGTTCAAGAAGACTGCCTAGTTAGAAGAAGCGATTGCTGTGGAGGACAGCATGACAACCATGAAAGGAAGCTGCCTTCTTGCACTGCTGCTGACAGGACTTGGGGTGTTAGGAATACTGGAGTCAACAACAAAAGAAGACACCCATTGCCACAGAGCTGAGCACCCAGTTATTTCATACAAAGGTATGGAGTAATGCAAAAGTGGTTTTTTTTTTTGTTGTTGTTGTATTTTTTTTTTTCATGTAGTTCTTCCCATTCCTAGGAACTTCTCTTGATATTATAAAATAATATTAAAAATATTGTATACAGTTATGTTATATAATCATGTTTATTATATTCCATACAGGTGTATACAGTTATGTTATATAATCATGTATAATCATATAACCATACAGATTAAACACAGATTTACAAAGCTTACTCACAATCTGGTGCTGAATATGTCAGTTGAAGATGAATTGTTTGTTTTCCTCTGCAATTAAAATACAGAATTAGGATCATTCTCTAATGGGATAGGGCAGATTGGAAGAAAGCCTCAGGAGGTCAATGAGTCCAACCTCATGCTTACAACAGAGCCACCTGTGAGATCAGAAAAGGCTGTTCCTGGGTTTATGCAATCTGTTCTTGAGAACCTCCAAGGATGGAGACTGTACAACCTGACTGGACAATCACAGCTTGACTGTCCTTGTGGTGAAAAAGTTTTTTTCTTTATATCTGAACCTTGTGTTTCAAATTTGACCTGTTGTCTCTTGTCTTTGCATACTAAGAACAAGAGTCATGTACTGTTTTCATCTTCATGATAACTTCATAGGTTTTGGAAATTGCTGTTAGTTTCCCCTCACCACCTTCTCTTCTCCAGACTGAACAAGTCCAGTTCCTCCAGCCTCTCCTTGTACCTTAGGTGCTTCAGGCATTAGCCTTTTTGCTGGCCCTCCACTGGACTCGCTTCAATATGTCAATGCCCTTCTTGTAGTGGTGAGTCCAAAATTGGATGCAGTATCCTAGATGCTTCTAGTGATTTTACACTCTCTGCCCTTGATCCTGTTTCCCTAGACAGGTCATGTTCCTGTTATACAGACCAGGTTGCCATTCACTTTTTCTGCTGCAAGGCCACACTCATGCTTGCTGTCTCATGTTCAGCTTGCTGTCTACGTGGACATCCACGTCCTTTCAACAGAGCTCATCTCTATCCCCATCAGTGCACTCCGTGGTGTCATCTCCTCCATGTCACTGATGAGGACATTAAACAGAACAGGTTCCAGGATTGATCTCTGTGATACTCTGCTTCTTACCAACATATAGGTAGAGTACAGCCCATGAAACAGTTATTCTTCCAGCCAGGTTTTTATGTATCTGGTTGTCCGTTTGTGCAAACAGACCATAACATCCTAACTTGCATACCAAAATATTTTGGAAGACAGTGTTGAACCTCTCACTGGGATCAAGAGAAATGACATCCACTGCTCTTCTCATCAATGAATCCTGTCATTTTATTACGTAAGGCAAATGGATTGGTCAGATGTGATTTACCCTTGGTAAATCCCCAACTATTTCTAGTCATCATCATCTTTGTATGACCATAAAGATGCATTCTAAGAACACTATCTCCATGACCTTGTCAGAAACTGAGGTGAGACTGAATGATGTGTACTTGCCATGTTTATTTTCCTGTGGTCACTGGGAACCTTCCCCAGTCTCTGCAACTTTGTGGAGATAGAGAGTGGCCAGTTCTTCTGTATTATTAACAACTCTTCTTGTCACCTGTGATGCATTTTGCAAGTCTCAACTCTAGTTGAATTCTGGCTTGTCTTGATGTCATTCTCATGTGCCCAGACAATTCCTTGTTGGTAGCCTGTCCTTGTTTCCACCTTGTGTATACTCCGATTTTGCACTGGAATTCCATCATGAGTTCCCTGTTTAGCGAGGCCAGTATTTTAATAAATATGCTTGTCTTCCTAAGTATTGACACAGATGGTCCTCCCAATTGGAGGAAGCACTACACAAAAACTTGAGGCATTTAATGACTAATTTGAGTTTTTATTTATTTAAATTGGGTTTTCCAGTTAGTACAGAAATTTAAAAGAAGCATTACAGTTTAAAAGATTTGTGTCTGTAAAAAGAGTGAACATAATTTTTATCATAACATGTAAAAAAAAAGTGTAAAGTTTTAAATTCTGCTGCTTAACTGCTTAATAATTCATGCTCAAAAACTGAACATTCATTGCATCTTTTTTGTGTATGTAACTGGAAATGCAAATAATTGAGGCTCATTACTACAGCAGCATGCTGAAAGATGATTAGAAATGAATTGGATTAGAAATGAATTAGTTTATGAATCTGACACTGTTCATAAATTTCAGTCAGTGTTTAGGAAAGAAGCTTGAATTTAGCACAATCCTCTTTTAAGTTCTTTATTGTTCCCTGTCATGTTTAATTTCTGGTTGTGTCCAACCAATTGCAAGTTAGTTATACTAAGGATCATTTGCTATGGAATAGGGATAGAGACTTTCTCTGTCATCTTGTTTCAATTGTATCTTCTGGTGCAGCCACAGATAGCATCACAGTGAAGATTGACGATTATCTTTTGTTGAAAAGATCCCAAAAGTTTATTGAAGTCTGCTTAGGATGTAAAGAATATTTTTTTAATACATATAAGAATCATAAATATGTAGAAACATTTATTTTCAGACTGTTGATGTAAGATTTTTGATATTATATTTCTGATTTTTCAATATCAGACCACCTTGTTGACCTTTGCAGAAGAAGTTTCATCAATCATGTCCATACCCCTGACATGTCTTAGCCTTTATGAACTGACATACTGTAGCTCATATACAACAGAATAATCTTTAGGAAACCTTCAGAAAATCTTAGAGAAATACACGTAGAAACAAATTGCAATGCAGCATATAATATGTGAATGCTAGGTAACATAGCTGGTGTAGGCATGTGGCAATTCACTAATAAATGCAGTGCCTCTAGTCTAGGGAAAAGAGGAGATGATGACAGACCAAAGGAAAAGGTGAGTAGGACAGAGGCTTTTCTTTGAAACTGTATGTTAGAAATGGACTACTGGCTGTTTGGTTGAGGTATCAAAGTATGAAAAAGACATATGTGTGGGAAGAACTTATGAATGAGTACTGCTGTAGGAGTTTTATGATGTTGCTGTGAAACGGTTTTGTTAGGGTTTAAGCAGTCCTCTTCCTGATTGCTCTGCTCCTCCTGCAGCATTTAATACCTTTATTAATGCCTAGAGAATGCTATAGCTGTTGGCAATATTAGTGCTGCTGGAGCCATGCAGGGTCCTAAAATCAAACCTTGGCAACTAAGAAACTTGTTAGTTGACTGCTAAACAGATGTCTCATTCGGTAAACCTACCTTATAATAATTTCATATCTGCTAGTGCTAAATGCTGAGTGGGATGTTGAGCACTAACCAAGGCTGAATATAATTGTTACTGTGTGGTAAGTACTTTGGTGAACTCCAATCCAAACTTTACAGAGGTAAAAACTTTTTTGTTTTATTTATAGTTGACTAAAGCTACTTTTTAGGTTTGGGTTCTGTAGTTTTTCCAAAATAGCAATATACTTACTTGGTCTGTTTTCCTTTGGGAGGACTATGTGAATGCACGGTAGATGGACTATAAACTATTATATGAAGCTAATGGAGTGAGAATCTGCTGTAGCGTATGGATGAACAGCTGCAGAAAACAAATAAAAAGTAGTCCCCAGGACCTGTCATGATGAAATATGGAAAGGGAGCATATCTTTTGAAAGAGCTTACTGTCTGTCCCACTACCCAGCAAAACCTTGCAAAAACGTTGCGTGCTGATCCTGTCAAGCTAACTTTTGTAGAAAGTACTGTTTCTATCACTGATTTTTCTCAACTAAGCATCTTTAGCTGAAAGATTCTGATATATCTTCTCTTTCAAATAGCAAGAATCCCACCCACCAATTACAAAATTTTATTCAAATATTCAGTTTTCTAGTCAAAGAGGAAAGGAAAAAGAAGTGGTAGAAGTGGGGGAGATGTATGCACATTCAGTGGTTTTTCTCTATGACCTAAAAATCTCTTTCACTGTAGTTGTTTCACATTCACAGTATTAATAATCCTGGTGATGTTCATCTGCGCAATTAACATTATGAATATATCATGAGCCTTTCATCTCTCCCAGGAACTAAAGGAACAAATGGGGAAACCTATTCCAGGTATGAACATGTTTCAACTGTAAAATTCTCTTAAGCCTTTTCTAGAATAGAAGGAGGCACTTTGTGTCTCAGTGGTAGGCTGGAAACTTCCTTTTCTGGTTGTTTAAAATTGGTGGGAGCTGTTACAGGAATCAGATTTATAAAAAGCAGGCCCCTAAGTATAGGACGGCTTGAGAGGATCAGCCCCTGCATTGTGCAGTTTGGAGTGTGTTATGTGGTGGGAGTAACCTGGATGATGCGCAGTCCCCTTTTAAGAGTCCCCTCTTTCCAGAAGCGTGCCTGCCTCCACCCGTGAAAATGTGTATGCTCTTTGTTTTTTGAAATTCTGTCTGCATGTATTACACACATGTGCCCAAGATTCCTCACATATGTAAGTGGAAAAAATAAATGGACGCACTGGAGTCAAGAGGCTCTAAAACCTGTGCATATTGTGGGATTGGGTACAAGGAAACAAAGTTGAAATGCTTGAAATAAATTAGGAAAAGACATGAAATAAGCTGGCAGAAGGCAAAAAATAGAGCATTACAGTTTTTATTAAATATTATTTCATCTGATTATGCTTCTGTGTCCATAGAGAAACTGAAATGTTAACTGTGTAATGTGTATTGGGGTTTATTGATGGCCAGCTTGTTCGTTTCTTGGAAAAAATGTGCCTGCTTAATATACTAAAGGGACATGTTTAACATAACTAGTTAGAAAAGGCTATTGAAAACAAGCTTCCTGTGGGTATGATAAGTGAGGAGTAAATCATATGCAGACAGTGTTTAAAGAAATAACATGGGTGTCTATGGAAAAAAAACAAAAACTGTTTATCAAAGTATATTCTTATGCAGAAACAAAGTGAAACAGTAGACTAATGCTTGTCTAAATCTTTCCATGAGTTCCAAAGCTCTTAACCTTCCACTCTACAGAAACTCTATGATGGAGAGAGAGATGGTATTTTATTTCCAATTAGAAAAAAAAAAAAAAGAATAA